ACCTCCCCCTCCTCCTCCTCCTCGTCATCCTCCTCCTCCTCGACATCATCCACTTCCTCCTCCTTCTCCCGAACCTCCTCGGCCTCATCCTCATCTTCCTCCTCCTCCTCCGCCTCTTCCTCCTCATCTTCCTCCTCTTCCTCCATTTCCTCCCCCGCCTCTTCCTCCTCCTCCTCCCCCTCCTCATCCTCCTGCTCGTGCTCCTGCTCCTGCTCATCCGTCTGCTCTTCCTTCTCCTCCTCCTCATCCTCCTCCTCCTCCCCTTCCTCCCCTTCCTCCCCTTCCTCCTCCTCCTCCTCCTCCCCCTCCCCACCCCCCTCCTGTTTATGCTCCTCGTCCTCCTTCTTCTCCACCTCCTCCTCCTCCTCCTCCTCCTCCTCCTCCTCCTCCTCTTCCTTCTCCTCCTCCTCCTCTCCTCCTCCTGCTCCTCATCCTCCTCCTCCTCATCCTCCTCCAGGTCCTCCTCCTCCTCCTCCTGCTGCTCCTCATCCTCCTGCTCCTGCTCTTGGTCTCGCTCTTGTTCCTGTTCCTCCTCCTCCTCCTCCCTCTCCTCCTCCTCCTCCTCCTCATCCTCCTCATCTCGTCCTCCTTCTCCACCTCTTCCCCCCCCTCCTCCATCTCCTCCTCATCCTCCTCCTCCTTCTCCTCCTCCCCCTTATCATCCGTATCCTTCTCCGCTCTTTCATCCTCATCCTCCTCCTGGTCCTCTTCCTCCTGCTCCTCCTCCTCTTCTTTGTAGCATTAGTTTTGATAGTAGCGTTAGTACTAGTAGTATTCGTGTCATTCGTATTAGTATTCGTCGTATGCTTCGTATTTTCATTATGGGTATGGTGGTGAGTAGTATGCCTAATCATCGTTGTATTAGTATTGTTGCGATTCGTAGTATGAGCATGCTTCTTGTTATTATTATTCGTATCACTCATAGTGGTCGTCTTATGTTTCTTCGTATTCTCCCTCCTCCGCCTCTTCCTCCTCCTCCTCCTGCTCCACCCCCTGTTCTTGCCCCGCCTCCTCCTCCTCCTCCTCATTATCCTCCTCGTCCTCCTCCTCTTCGTCCTCCTCCTCCTCCTCCTCGCGCACCTGTCTCCGCTTCGGCCCCGTGCTCGGAGGGAAACCCCGCGGGAGGCAGAGGACGAGGGGGGCAGCAGGCGGGAGAAGGGGCAAAGGGCGAGAAGAGGATAAGGGAGGCGCGAAGACTGACATCAGACATGTAGATATATGTGCATATATGTGTGTGTGTGGATTCATATGTGTGTGGCGCGCACTATAAATAACGCAATGTATGCAATTCCATGTATGTGGTGTAAACTGCGTGACGAAATTGATGTGGAGCGAACGAATTCATCGATGTGGTGCGGGGCAACACGTACGTACATAGATGTGGAGCGAACGGATTCATCGATGTGCAAGCGGTGGTGCAACACAGTACGTACATTGATGTGTGATCCGCGCAATATGTGTGGCGTACTCTATGTGGTGCAATCGATGTGGGGAAATACTTGTGGTGTAAACTATGTGGTGCAAGCTACGCGATGCGCGCTGCGTGGCGTAAACTCTGTAATGCTACGTGGTCAAAGCTAAGTAGTACAATATGTGTATATATGTGGTGTGCTAGATAAGCCGTGCAAGCTGTGTGGTGCACGCTGTGTTGTGCAAGATGTACGGTGCAAGCTACGCGGTACGATATATGTGGTGTCAGCTATGTGATGCAATCTATAGTAACATTCATGTGTGGCGTAGGTTATGTAGTGTATGAGCTATGTGGCACAATCCACACGGTGCACTATGCGTTGCAATACGCCCTGCCGAACTGGATGATGTCAATACCATTGCTCGCACAATCACCCCACCCACCCACCCGCAAATTGGCTTGCAAATCCCTGCGGCGGCGATTGCGATGACTTCTTGGCGCTGGCTGGCGCATCGCTGCGGCCGCGCTAGCGCGCGCAGGCTCGCGCGCAAAGCGGCCAACTGGTCTGGCGCGACCGGCGCGGCTGCGGATGCGCTGACCGCCGGGGACCTCTCAGCGAGTCTCGCAGGTTGCACTGAGGCGCGGGCACTTTCATGCGAGATGGTGGCTCGGTCGGGTGCGGCACTATGGCGACGTCGACAACGGCAAGCACGATGATGATAGCAGCGATGCGGGTAGCGACGATGACGCTGACGGCGCAAGGCCGATGACGGCGCTGATATTAATCACGCCAATGAAGATGATGGTGTCCACATGTCGGGGATGAAACATTTGGAAAGATTTCGGCATGCGCGCGCGGGCGGCGGGCGCGAAAGGCCCGCATGGCGATAGTTGTCAAGGATCGTCCCCCCCCAACGTGCGCGCAAGGGCGTTCGAATGATTTCGGCATGCGCGCACGAGAGGCCCGTTTGGTTGAATGTGATGAGACAATTGAAAAACCACAAGTTTCTTCAAAAATCGCAAGGGCGCGCGCGTAAACTGCTTTGAGAACCAAAGAAAACGTGTTGCGCAACCATTCGTGTTTCACATGTTTTCGGGAGCATCGACTTTGAAATCCTCGCAAAATTAATGGTTCTTGAAGGATTTCAGCATGCGCGCGCGACGCGGCGCGCGTGTGGACTTTCTCATATGTGTTGCCACGGACTCTTTGCAAATGGATGATTTGTGATAAACGAGCGCGCGCGCATAGTTTTATGCGTCATGGAATAAGGGAGGTGTCGAACCCAGTTTGGCTGGAATGCTACGAACCCAAATGTAGAATGAACGACGGGGCAGAATCATATGTAAGCTGCACCCCCCTAGGGTGGACCGATAACGCCCGGAAGGGGGGGTAGATTTTCCTGTCTCTGTAGCAAAAGGCATACATATACACGCGTACATCTGGTGTAAGCTACGTGGTGCCATCTACGTAAAGCAGAATATGTGATGCAAGCTGTGTGGTGCAACCTGTGTCGTGTGAGCTGCGTGGCTTAAGCTCTGTAGCGCACGCTTGCAACCGATTGGAATCATTGCAGCCGATTGCCATCGGTTGCAATGCAATGGGCGGATAGGGGTGCCACGGGGCGGCAGCGACGGGCGGCGACGGGCGGCGTTGGCGACAACCAGCGCGGCGACCGCCACGGAGCGGCGACGAACGGCGGCGACAGGTGGCGACGGCGACAGCAAAGCGCGGCGACCGACACCCAGCAGCGGCGACGGACTGCGGCGACGGGCGGCGACGGCGACAACAAGCCGGCCGGACCGAACCTCAGGCCCAACTCCTTGTAGACGAAATAAGAACCCCTAACTGCAAGCACTGTGGGGGAACAGTACACAGAGAGGGCGGGACACTTTCGCGACGTAGTTGGGAAAGAGATGCGAATAGTATAACTCGAGAGTGGGCATGGAAACGAGGGAGGAGGGACTAGGGAGGAAGGAGACGAGAAGAGGAGAAGGAGGAGGAGGAGGAGGAGCAGCAGAATGAGCAGCAGCAGCAGGGAGGAGAAAGGATAGGGATTGGGAGATGGAGGGGCAAGGGGGGAGATGGAGGCGATGGGGGGGAGGACGGAAGGAAGGGGGGAGCAGGACCTTCCAAAGAATTCCGCTGGCACCTTGGTTGATGGTCCCTAGCCCAGTCTCCTCCTCCTCCTCCTCATCCTCCTCCTCCTCCTACTCATCATCATCATCATCATCATCATCATCATCATCATCATCATCATCAGCAGCAGCAGCAGCAGCAGCAGCAGCATGACCACTATCTAAGCCATCGTAGTTATGCGCATTACCATCACAATCAGCCGATTCACGTTCGCCGTGATCATCCCTCATTGCATCTTCGAGTGCATTACACACTAGTCCAACTCCCAGCATCAGCATCATGGTCTGCATCAGCCTCATAATCATCATCACCACCAACATCATCACCATGACCATCACCATCATCCGCATCCTCAGCATCATCACCACCATCAGCATCATCATCATCATCACCGCCGCCCTCACCCTCATCATCATAATTATCCACATCGTCATCATCATCACCACCACCAACACCATCATAGTCATAACCACCACCACCAGAATCATCATCACCTCCATCACCACCCCCACCACCACCTTCATCATAGGCACCACCATCAGCATCATCATCATCATCATCATCAGCATCATCAGCGTCATGATCATCATCATCATCAGCAGCAGCAGCAGCACAACCACCACCATCGTCATCACCATCACCATCACCATCATCATATATTACCGAAGCATCAGCATCAGCATCAGCATCATCAGCATCATCAGCGTCATGATCATCATCATCAGCAGCAGCAGCAGCAGCAGAATCAGCATCATCATCATCATCAGCATCATCATCGTCATCATCAGCATCATCATCATCAGCATCATCATCATCATCATCATCATCTTAATCAAGCATTGACCTCATCAATGCCCTCCTCTCCTCCTCCTCCTCCTCCTCCTCCTCCTCCTCCTCCTCCTCCTCCTCCTCCTCCTCGTGATCATCATCCACCATCCCCCGCATCCTCCTTTCTACGTATTCCCCATCCTTCCTTCTCGTCCTTCCGCCTCCGAGAATCCTTCTCCTGCTCCTCCTGCTCCTCCTTCTCCTCCTCCTCGTTGTTCTCCTTCCTCGCCCTCCAGCTGCAGATGTGCAGAGTCAGAAAAGAACTGCCCGTGGCAGCTGGTCACGGCCACTAGTTTTGTGTCGTGGACGCGCGAACATGTTCTTGCCCACAAGACAAAAAAAAACGATTGCGGACTAGCCCTAAAGGGAAAGGAAGGTGAGGATGCGAAGGACGGAGGAAGAATGGCAGGGCAAGAAAGAGGAGGACGACGACGATATAATGAATAACAGAAAAGAGGAAGCAGGAAAGAGGAGAGAGGACCCCTCCCTCCTCATTCCTGCTCCTTGATGGTCCGTCAAAGCTCCTCCCCCTGATTCCTCACAATGCATCCACGACTCTCCCTCCTCCTCCAAGAGATAAAAGGAGGGAGGAGGTGGAGGACCGAGGACGAACGATTTGGGGGAGAGAGGAGGGAAGCAGGAGGGAGGATCAAAGAGGAGGCCTCAGGACCCCCTGTTCTCGCCGGCGAACCGCACAAGGGGAGCCAGCGCCGACCCAAGAACTCTGCGCAGACGTCTGAAAGTGTATGTGCATGCACTTTGCCTTGTTCTTCGACAGCAGCAGGTGGAGGGAGGAAGAGGAGGAGGAGGAGGAAAGAAAGAGAGGACAACGAGGAGGGAGGCTAAAAGCTCAGATCTACCGGCGCTCGAACTTCTTGCGCTCGTCGGCGAGGCACACCTGCAGAGGGCGGGGGCAGACAACGGCGAGTCTCTCTCCTCCCCGTTTCCTCCGCACCCTCCTCCTCCTCCTACTCGCCTTCCTCCTCGCCCTGCTCCTCCTTCCCTCCTCCCCCTCGCCCTTCCCCCTCCTCATCTTCATCCTCCTCCTCATCCTCCTCGCCCTGTTCATTTTCATCCTCCTCCTTATCCTCCTCTTCCTCCGCCTCTTCCTCCATTCCTCTTTCCAAAAAATACATGCTCCCTGCCGCACCACCGCACGTGTCAACAGAGCGGGTCCAGCGTTTCGCCTGAAACTCAAAACTTATGAAATCGAAGCTCGAACAGCCAAACAATCACACGCATGGGGCAAAGGTCGTTTTCAAAAATGGGGCTCTCGCCATGGTGCCGCGCACACCAGTTGCAAAAAACAAAAAAAACAAAAACAGCGAACGAGAGAAGCGGCTTACAAAATGGATATCGCCTCAGCGCCGTGCACACTCGCTCTAGGACCCCTGCAACAACTACACGGACGGAGGGCGGCGTGTCTTCTACATGGGTGCGTCGCTATGGCTTCCCCAACTTGTACGACCAGAGGTGGAGGTTCGCGCTGCAGCTACACGAATGCAGGGGGGACCCTTTTTTTCAAAATGGGGCTATCATTGCACAACCCCGTGGGCTTGCGCGACCCTGCCCCTTCCCATGTCTTAGTATGGTTCCTCGTCTCCGTTGCATGTCCCCTTTCTCCTCCTCTTCCACCTCGTCCTCCTCCTCGTCACGATCATTATCATCGCCACCATCATCAGCAGCAACATCACCATCACCGTCGTCACAACCACCACCATCATCACCGTGCGCTGTCGCGGCGCTGACGCAGCATCAAGTCCCCTCGACTGTTCGAAGGAAGTAATAGTGGTCACAAGGGGGTTGTGGCTGTGAGGACAACATGCCTGTGGCAACTCTGGATATCATTCCAACCGTTGTACCCGTCGTCCTTTGCTGGCCACCAAGTGCCTTGTAGAGCCGAATTTCCTTGGCAGCCCCCTGCGAAGGTGCCTGACTTGTCCAGCTCGTCTTCTCTGCCAGCTTTGCCTATGTCCATGGCACCACTGCCTTTGGCGTCTGCATCCAGTCGCTCCTCACGGGCCCAATATTCACATCTTAGGCACACTTTTGATATGTGCCCGTGGTAAGCAAATCGTGGTTTCGAAAAAGTCCTGCTGCCAATCGTCCAACCAGTCTCCAGCGTGTGTCATGATGGCTTTCAACGCCGTTATCTTGAAGGGGAGAGATAGCTCAAAAGATTTGCCGTATTTCCCAGCTTCTCCACTAGTGCACTGCATCGCTCGAGTTGAACTGACGTGTTGCTCAGTTTGTTGGACCTCTCGAGGTTCAGAGGTAAGCCCATCTTGACAGATCGTGGTGCCACTTTATATATCCATGTAGGCGGCCAGTTCTGTGCCTCAACACTGACCAGCTTCTCGGCGAATATGCACCACAGGTCTTCATCTAATTTGGTCATCCCGTCTTCGTCCAGGGTGTCACTGTCTTCCCTTTAGTATTCTTCTCTATATTTCCGAAGGCTGGCACGATTGTATTCCGCGGACGTCATGCGACCGTTGAGCATCCATATTGTCCCCCCTTCCCCACTTGGGTAAGGACAACTCCATCCATGGTGCCCAGCTTCGGGTTCATTGTCTTGAAGGCCTTGCGATTTACATTGCTGACCCAGCGCGTTGAGCTACCGTTCCCTTCATTCTTGGAAGTCCGTCCTGTCTCCATTGAAACTCTATGAGATAAACTGCCTTGGGCTCACTTATGGGTCTCTGGTGCGTCTCGCTGCTGCCTGGCCCAATGTTGTCTGCCATTTGAGCGTGCCCAGTGTTCGTATCCATACATTCGGTGACTGTTTTTGGGTGACCCAAAAGGGGGTTCAGCTGAAAGGGGGTGTTGCAATAGATGTGGGGCAATTGTATTGCAAATGTACTGCGCCAGACATTGCATTGCACGCGAAAATCCAGCAATACATTTGCGCCCTGGAATGTATTGCACGCCCTTGCAACCCCACAAATCTATTGCACCAAATCTATTGCACCACCCCGTTGTCGCTGGACCCCCTTCTGGGTCAACCCGATGTTTGTCCACGTCGGCGTCCCTCGACATCACCATTGCCGTTTCCATTTCATGTCAGCTCTCCCGGTTGGCTATGCTCAATAACGCCCCGTTGGACGTGCCAAGCCTTCGTATCATCGGCATCGCATGCTCAGTGGATAATTCCTGGTTGCCTACGCGCTCTTGCTCATACAGGTAATCCGTCATGGCGCCATGATTGGCTTGTAATGCGGCTTTGACGAAATCAGAATCGCCCTGTTGGTTGGCCGTTAGACACTTGACCCCGAAGTTGGCGAGGTTGTATTCAATGCAATCCTGTCTTGTAACAGGTATTTCGGTTCCTGATAGCCCCGCTCCGCTACCATGCAAATATAACATAGCCATGGTGATGAGAAGGGATACCTTTAATCAAGCGGAGTACGACGGGTGGCCAGTCGTATCTTGCGCAACCGTTAGTCTGCTATAAACTTGAGCCAAACGCCAGCAGTTGCACAGTAGCGTGGAGGCCAATATAGAGGCACCTCCACCTCCTCCTCTTCCTCCTCGTCCTCTTCCTCCTCCTCCTCCCCGGCCTCATGTCGGGACACGTTCAATCCTGCCTAGCCTAGCAACCGCCGTGCAGCGATAGAGCCTCGTCCAGGGGCCGCTGCCCGATTGGGATCCACCTCCGGGGGGGCGGCATGCCGAGATGAAGAGCCACCTCCGAGGGCCCCCTCCGCTGTCCTCCCTCGGCTGCCAACCGGAGCGACCCTGGGCAAGAGTGACCTCTGGTGCGCGGCTTCAAGGGGGGGGGGGGGCGGGGAGCCACTCCTGCGCGGAGCCGGCCTCCCCGCCTCCCCGCCTCCCCTCCGCCCAGCCCTCCGCGACAAGGCCCAGGCGCCTCCAGCCGCTTGTTCATGCCGTCGCAGAAGGCCACGATGCCCCGCCCGGAGGCCACGAAGGACTCGAGGTCCCTCGCCGCGGGGGGGGGGGGCTCCGCCGCCCAGCCAATCTTGGAGGGGGGGCATCATGAGGCGCCTCCTGGGAGGGAGGGGGGAGGAGGAGGGGAGGATAAGGAGGGAGGCGAGCAGGGAGGGGAGTCTGGCGGTTGGGGAGGGGCAGAAAGAGGAAGAGGAGGGGGAGGAGGGAAAGAGGGGGGAGGGAGGAGGGAAGGAGGAGGGGAGAGGGCGAGGAGGGGAGGGGAGGGGGAAGGGGGGAAGACAAGCTGGGCGCGCTAGCGCCTCATTTGATATCCTACCCCTCCCTCCCATCCCTTCCCATGGCGTTAATTTTTCTCTATCCGCGGACGCGTGTCATAGCCGACCTGCGACTCCCACAGAAAGACCACTCTGTAGTATGCGCAATGGAAAGACGAGGAGATGCGTGCACAGGAGGAGGAGGTGGCGGGTGAGCAGGAGGATGGGTGGGAGGAACAGGATGAGGACGAACAACAGCAGCAGGAAATAAAGCGGACGGATCGTGAAGAAAAGGAAGACTGGAGGAAGGCGGAGAAGCAGATTGCGCTGTACAGGAATATCGCAGACCAGCCACTTAATTCGCTAATACGACGTCTCGTGTGCAACCCGGATGGCACCCCGAAAGACTGGGCGCGCCGCCGCGGCAGAGGGCGCCCGCGACAGCAGTGGGCGAAGTCAGCGTTTGCCCTGGAGCAGGTGAATGTGTGACCTCCCCTGTCTTGCTGCCCTCCTCCTCCTCCTCCTCCTCCTCCTCCTCCTCCTCCTCCTCCTCCTCCTCCTCCTCCTCCTCCTCATTGCTGGCGTGCTAATTGTATTGTCTGTGACCGGTTCCTCGCAGTCGGGCGCTGTATATTGTGCGTCACAGTCGTGATGCGCTTTGTGCTTCTGCTTCACAGTCGTGTCGCACTCCGTTTTCCGCCGCGCGCTATCGCAACCCGGAGGTGATGTTTTACACCTACAGGCAGGCGCACCGCCAAGTATCGGTCCAATAGCGATCCGGATGCTTTTGCCAACGCGTCTTACAGATGCACGGCTTCTGACCTGACCTGACAACGGTAAATAGTGAGTGGGATTCAGAAAGTGGCCCGCTCTTGGGCGAGGCGAACACCAGCAACAGGAAATGGAGTGGAAGGAGCAGGAGGACCAGAGAAAGGCGGAAGAGGGGAAACGAGGGGGGACCACAATGAAGCAAGACTCGGATCCAGAAAAATGGCCCGCGCGGGGGCGAGAGCGCCATTTTGAACGACGGGAGCCGATCCGAGAATGAGGCCCACGCTGCAGTGGGAACACCATTTTGGAACACCGACAAGAATCGGATTGTAAATGATCCTGGCGGAGGGCCCAACCATACGCAATTGTGGGCGCCGCGCTATGATCACTGTTTTCGGTGGAGCTCCCTATGGGGCCACGAAACGTGTGAGGGGTGTGCCAAAAAAAGGGTGGGGCCGCCATGCGAACACTGCCACTGCGCCTTCGGTGGGGCTCCCTACGGGGCCACGAAACGTGTGATGGGGTGTGCTGGAGCCGTCACGCGGACCCTGCCATTGGGGCTTGTCTGCCAAGCTCCCTATGGGGCCACGAATCGTATGATGGGGTGTGCGAAATGGGCGCGGGGCCGCCATGCGAACCCTGCCACTGGGGCCTTCTGCCAGGCTCCCACGAAACGTGTGAGGGGTGAGCCGAAACGGGGCGTGGCCGCCATGAGAACCCTGCCACTGTGGCCTTCGGTGCAGCTCCTATGGGGCCACGAAACGTGTGAGAAGTGTGTGTGTGTGTGTCGACATGGGGCCAGGCCGAAGTGCGAACCCTGCCAGTGGGGACTTTGGTGGAGCTCCCCACGGGGCCAGGAAATATGGGAGGGGTGTGCCGAAATGGGGCGGGGCCGCCATGCGAACCCTGCCAATTGGGCCTTCGTGGAGCTCCCTGTGGCGTCACGAAGCGAGTAAAGGGTGTGCCGAAGCTGCTGGCGGTGATGATGACGATAATGATGATGATGACGACACGATGGAAGGTGATGAGGACGATAATGAAGCTGATGATGATGATGATGATGCTGATGCTAATGACGATGACGATGACGACGGTGATGGTGATTGCAGCAATGATGATGATGATGACAATGATGGTGGTGGTGAAAATGACGACGACAACGATGCTGACGATGATGGCGGGGATGACGGTGATGCTGATGACGAAGGGATAAGCGGAAGGGGGCCCAAAACCTCAACCAATGCAGGCGGTGGTGATGAAGATGATGATATGGTGATGAGTATACGTATGATGATGATGATGATGATGATGACGATGCTGATGATGATGATGATGATGCTGATGACGATGACGACGGTGATGGTGATTGCAGCAATGGTGATGATGATGATGACAATGATGGTGGTGGTGAAAATGACGACGACAACGATGCTGACGATGATGGCGGGGATGACGGTGATGCTGATGACGAAGGGATAAGCGGAAGGGGGCCCAAAAACTCAACCAATGCAGGCGGTGGTGATGATGATGATATGGTGATGAGAATACGTGTGATGATGATGATGATGATGTCGATGCTGATGATGATGATGATGCTGATGACGATGACGACGGTGATGGTGATTGCAGCAATGGTGATGATGATGATGGCAATGATGGTGGTGGTGAAAATGACGACGACAACGATGCTGACAATGATGGCGGGGATGACGGTGATGCTGATGACGAAGGGAAAAGGGGACGGGGACCCAAAACCTCAACCAATGCTGGCGATGGTGACGATGATGGTGATGATGATATGGTCATGAATATACGTATGATGATGATGATGATGATGACGATGCTGATGATGATGATGATGATGATGATGACGATGACGATGACGACGGTGATGGTGATTGCAGCACTGGTGATGATGATGACAATGATGGTGGTGAAAATGACGACGACAACGATGCTGACGATGATGGCGGGGATGACGGTGATGCTGACGACGAAGGGAGAAGGGGAAGGGGACCCAAAACCTCAACCAATGCAGGCGATGGTGATGATGATGATGATGATATGGTGATGAGTATACGTATGATGATGATGATGATGATGACGATGCTGATGATGATGATACTTATGATGATGATGACGATGACGATGACGACGGTGATGGTGATTGCAGCAATGGTGATGATGATGACAATGATGGTGGTGGTGGATATGACGACGACAACGATGCTGATGATGATGGCGGGGATGACGGTGATGCTGATGACGAAGGGAAAAGGGGAAGGGGACCCAAAACCTCAACCAATGCAGGCGATGATGATGATGATATTGTGATGAGTACACGTATGATGATGATGATGATGATGATGACGATGCTGATGATGATGATGACGATGACGATGACGACGGAGATGGTGATTGCAGCAATGGTGATGATGATGACAATGATGGTGGTGGTGAAAATGACGACGACAACGATGCTGACGATGATGACGGGGATGACGGTGATCTTGATGACGAAGGGAGAAGGGAAAGGGGACCCAAAACCTCAACCAATGCAGGCGATGGTGATGATGATGATGATATGGTCATGAATATACGTATGATGATGATGATGATGACGATGCTGATGATGATGATGACGATGACGATGACGACGGTGATGGTGATTGCAGCAATGGTGATGATGATGACAATGATGGTGGTGGTGAAAATGACGACGACAACGATGCTGACGATGATGGCGGGGATGACGGTGATGCTGATGACGAAGGGATAAGCGGAAGGGGGCCCAAAACCTCAACCAATGCAGGCGATGGTGATGATGATGGTGATATGGTGATGAGTATACGTATGATGATGATGACGATGCTGATGCTGATGATGATGATGATGACGATGACGACGGTGATGGTGATTGCAGCAATGGTGATGATGACAATGATGGTGGTGGTGAAAATGACGACGACAACGATGCTGACGATGATGGCGGGGATGACGGTGATGCTGACGACGAAGGGAAAAGGGGAAGGGGACCCAAAACCTCAACCAATGCAGGCGATGGTGATGATGATGATATGGTGATGAATATACGTATGATGATGATGATGATGATGATGATGAGGACGATGCTGATTATGATGATGATGATGACGATGACGATGACGACGGTGATGGTGATTGCAGCAATGGCGATGATGATGACAATGATGGTGGTGGTGAAAATGACGACGACAACGATGCTGACGATGATGGCGGGGATGACGGTGATGCTGATGACGAAGGGAGAAGGGGAAAGGGACCCAAAACCTCAACCAATGCAGGCGATGGTGATGATGATGATATGGTGATGAATTTACGTATGATGATGATGCTGATGATGATGATGATGATGACGATGACGATGACGATGACGACGGTGATGGTGATTGCAGCAATGGTGATGAAGATGACAATGATGGTGGTGGTGAATATGACGACGACAACGATGCTGACGATGGTGGCGGGGATGACGGTGATGCTGATGACGAAGTGAGAAGGGGAAAGGGACCCAAAACCTCAACCAATGCAGGCGATGGTGATGATGATGATATGGTGATGAGTATACGTATGATGATGACGATGATGATAATGATGATGACGATGCTGATGATGATGATGATGACGATGACGATGACGACGGTGATAGTGATTGCAGCAATGGTGATGATGATGGCAATGATGGTGGTGGTGAAAATGACGACGACAACGATGCTGACGATGATGGCGGGGATGACGGTGATGCTGATGACGATGGGAGAAGGGGAAGGGGACACAAAACCTCAACCAATGCAGGCGATGGTGATGATGATGATGATATGGTGATGAGTATACGTATGATGCTGATGATGACGATGCTGATGATGATGATGACGATGACGATGACGACGGTGATGGTGATTGCAGCAATGGTGATGATGATGACAATGATGGTGGTGGTGAAAATGACGACGACAACGATGCTGACG